CCCGATAGCCGCCCGCCCTGCTTTTGATGTGGCGCGGGAGCTCTCGCCGCGCGCTGATGCGCCGCCGGCCGCGCTTTGCATTCGTTATTCCAAGAACATAACATCGGACTTTCTGCTGCGGGCGAAAGGGGAGGGAAGAGAGATAAGGGGGAGCGGTGGGTGCCGACGGGGGGATTTCGATGTCGCCGTAAGCTGATAGCGCTCGGAACAGGCGCGCTCAGGCGACAATTGTAATGACACGCCGGTCTGGTGGCTCAGGGAGATAAATGGTCAGGTAATTCAACTGCGATGACTTTTCTCGTAAATCTACGTGAATTCATTCACGCGCGATTTGATTAAAGGTACGTTACGCGTACATACTTGAAAAGAACGTATTCCGGACATCCAGAGCAGGCCACCTTAAAATGGATTACGTACAAACTTGAAAGTGTAATCTTAATAATCTTAAGGAAGAGAAAACAACCTTAAAATGAATTACGTACAAACTTGGAAATCTTGATAAATAAAATTATAATCTTAATAAATTGATTGATTGATTAGTGATTGCGGGCGGGGTATCTGCAAAGTTCGTTTGTCCCGTAGATGTAGTCGTTATCCCATTTTTTTGAGTGTCGTGGCTGACATGGGAATTTCCCCATGTGGATGGTGAGATCCGGCGCCAACCTACGTCAGCTTACGGGATTTCCCCTCAACCAGGTATCTCCCATCAGCGATGCACCGCCCCAGTCGGGAAAAGCCCTAAGCTCCCGACTGGTCTTCCGTTAATCTTAATAAAGATGGACGTAGGTGAATAAATATTCATGTAAATCAGAACGTTTGTTCCGAAGTGACTTTTGAACCACTGAAGCGTCTGTTTCCAAAATTTTCACGATCATTACTAAGAAATCGAGAAAAAAATCAGAGATTTCATGAACCAGAAATATGAGCTCAAATTTTGGTTACACCTCGAAATACGATGCTGGCAACCCACAATGCAGGGCATTGTTGGCGACAGATCGGACGGGTCGGACACTGTGTGCGTTGCGGGGAGGGGGAGAGAGAGTCGTAGGGGCGAGGCTGGTTAAGAGATGATTGTGTAAATAAATACCCGAGCAATTACGGGCAATCACATAATTATAGCTACAAACAAATGCGACATTCAGTTTCAGCAACCATTTTATTATTTAATCATCAATTACCGACGTTTCGTGGCTTGGTTTGACCTCGTTCAGCGCAATATGATAACATGAAACATCAATATCCCCGATGTATCGTATAAAAAGTATTATGCATAGCGTTTCACTTAGATACCTGAAGAAAATAATTGCACCTAAAATATGACAAATACATACTAATGAAAGTGAAGACCGAAGGGACTGCACTGTTGGAACACCGTCATACTCTCCAAAAGCCCTTCAACTTGCCTTATAACATACGAGATCCAATTAATTTCAAGACTTTTTTCTACGTTCACTACATTTGAGGTTCCGGTTCACTATAGCAGAATCTTCTTACGCTTATTTGTAATGTAAGTTTACCGGGATCAGTGAATTAAATCCACAGTAACCTGTCCACTGTAACAGGGTTCACTATATACGAGTTCACTATAATACTATGATTACGTTCCCAAGTAATTATCACAAGAATTATAAACATACCATTAAATACAGCTCCAGTACTCATTCAGTGTCTTGAATAGAAAACTATTTTAACGGTTAAGGCCTGTCTGCAGAAACTCTCAGTAAACCTACACCATTGTCAAAAACGAACTCAAAATATCAATCACTACGAATGTCGAGTTTTACAATATTCACTCCGAAGACACCGTTGTAGTTCTGAATCATCACCTTCCCAGCACTTCCTCAGTGGGCACCATCGCGGCCCCGCCCCCTGGCGGCAGCCTTGAGGGTTTATCACCGGTGCCACCCTCGCCGTTCGCGCCCCTGGCGGCCGCGCCAGGAAAATAAACCGGCGACACGAGGGCGCACGCGAGGGCGGAGGCAGGGGCCGAAACGATCTCGTGCTCCCGCGCCATCATGCATCCAATTCCCTTAAATTAGCCCCGCCCGTAGAGTACTGTATAGGTAACGCTCGTTTCGGCAGGGAAGTTGAGTAAATAATTAAGATGGCGCTGGTCGACTCTGTGATTACGGAGGTTATGAATATAAATTAATTCCTTATTTTTTGTAAGTGCATGGTGGGGCTGATGCTGTGGAAAGGGACAGAGCTGACATAACGTATATTGGTTAAAGATGTAAATTTGTGTTATCTAAAACACTTTCAAATGATGTATTCAAGTTTAATATTTCATTTACTGTGGGTAATCGATCTACTAGTAGCCTGTATTAATTTATCGAGGGGAGAGGCATATGATGAAAGGTTATTACGATTCTATTAATTTATGTAGTTTGATGGAATTTAAAAAATGAATATGATTTTTTTTCCAATTTTTCAGTTTTTCATATTTCCAACCGAAGCACATTACACATATTGTTCTTTCTAAAATGTACACATTTTCTGGGGTAATCTTTAATAAGATGTTTCATTGGAATAATTATGGTATTTTTTATTAAATATGCAAACGATACAATAAATTTCCAGAATTATGATTTCACAAAGAGTAGATCGAGAGCTTTTTAAACAAACAGCAAATAGCTGTTTTATGTACGGAGCACCACCGGCAACTCGAAAGCTACAAAAAGTTCTGAATGGAAATTAAAAAAGAACGAGATCGATTTTACCAGTTATAAGAAATCCCTTCATGGTCTTATTTTCAACTTTTATTTAGATTATTTTGATAAAATTAACAAAATAATTTCAAAGGAAATAATTTCAGAAATGTGACGTACCTACATAACTAATGAAAAAGATATATTCTCAACTGAATGCAAGAACGACAAATTAATAACCAGCACTCTAGAATTACACTGCCGTAGAGAAATCCACATTCCCTCTGCGTAGAGTTACCAGAGATCTAGTTGAAAAAAATCAAGATTATTGAAGGCCATTACACAAAAAGCCAGGACATCTTTTTATAATGACAGACAGGTAAAATATTCTTATACTATTTCAGAAGAGAAATCAATGTATATGTTAATACTGCACTTTACGATAAATTATATGACTAAGGCAGCATTATTATTACGAACTCTTCCTAATTTTGTTTCAATATTCCCCGAACAAATATGAGATTACGATATACTTCATTCTTATAGTTCGAAACCGTATCACTTCTAATATCACTTTTCTATAGAGCTATTTTATTTTTTGAATATTTCATATTAAAATATTAAAAGTAAAATAAACAGTAAATTGGACTGGTATACCCAAGTTGGCGGGTTCAAACCCGATCGAAGCCGTGGATTTTTAAGGGCGAAAAAAATCCTTCGTGCGTCTTCCTTCGGAGGGGAAGTAAAGCCGGCTGTTCCATGTTAGTAGATTTACTTGCATGTAAATGATCCTCAAGCATAAATGACGCCTCTGACATAGTTTGTCGCCAAAGAAATACTTCCTTCCTCTGGTAGTTGGTGAAAGGAGCGTAACGAAATTTGCATGGTCAGACGGAAGAGCGGGCCTGATGGCCCGAGTCTCGCCACGTAATATAAGGTATTAATTCAATTCAATAAATAGTTACATATTAAAAAATCAGGACTTTTGAAAATATAGGTCAGTTAGAACAGAGTGCACAAATCAGGACATGTCCCGGCAAATCAAGCCGCCTAGTGACCCTCCCTGTGCCTCAACCGTTCATAAGAACGAAGCAGGGCGCGCCATGCGCTGGTCGCCGGTCGCCCGCTGCAGCAACAGCTGGCCGATGGCGCGGGCCGTCCTCCGCGCCGCCGCCGCTTAAGCGCTCGGGGCGAAGCGACGCGCGACCGCCCTCCGCGAGCCACGATTACGCCCCGCCCCGCCCGGGCGCGCAACCCCAGGATTACGAAATCAATGTTTATGGCTCGAATATATTCCTATGGGCGCGTGCAACGCGTTCTCAATTATTCATGACCTTTAAACCTACCTATGAGCTCTGCAGTGGGCATGCGGGCGTGTATGGGGTGCGCGGAAACGTGTGCGTATATCCAGAGAATGCGTAATTAAACGTAATCAGTCAGTTAACATGTCAAAGAACATCTACACACTGCGGCGGATCATTTTCAGAATAATAGCGCTTCATTACACATAAAGCAATTAAAAAGTTGGGGTAATCTTTTCCACATATGATCTCGTAAGGTGATCATTACGTCAGAAAATGAAAAATAGGCAGGAATAACTTTGAATACCAATTAAAAAAGTATTACTGTTTTATACTATTTACTGAATAAAAAGGTGAGGGGAGACATGAAATGGTCTATCCTCTTCGTTTCGGCCCCTTCATCAAAAATGGATAGTTATTGCGAAAGTAAAACGAGTATGCAAAAGATATTGGTTCAATGATACACAACACAAGAAAAATCTGAACTTCCACAAATACGTATAAACAAATCCAGATAACAGAGCTAACTTCTATTTGAGTCCTCATTGCTTCGGCGTACCCTGAGGAGATGTCTGCGGTGGAAGGAAAATGGACACGGAAAGGATAGAGAGTAAAGCGAGAAGGGAGAGCCGCCAAGGAGGTTCTGTCACTCGGAGCCGCATGGGGCACAGGTCACTATTACATCCCGGAGAAATGAATTATAAAAAAGTAATTTCCTAGTACGAATTTAAAAAAAATAATAAATAGTAAACAATAATAATAAAAAGTAATTATATAATGTCTGAACAGCAATTTATCTGCGTCAATAAGAGTATCATTTGGGAGAAAATGAAGAACCTTAAACATTATACCTCCAATCACGACAATTTCGAACGCGTCGACTCTCGAAATACTTCGCCTAGTACCGAGTTGATATCTGCCGCCCGTGGCCAGACAGGGTGTTCGGCAGGTGCCAATTTCAGGTGGACGCCTTCTCCACCTTCGAGAACGTACGGCGTCCTCCGGGAAATCCCGCCCGGGGCTAAGCCTTCCCCAGGAGGGGGCGGGGCGGGGCACGGGGTGGGGCGTGGGGCAGCTGCAGGTGGGCGGGGCGGGGAAGGCTTGGCGCGGGGGCGGAGCAGACTGGCGGCGGGGAGGGGCTGGTGTGGCGGGGCAGGGTGGGGCGGGCAAATGGTGGGGCGGGGCGGAGCAGACTGGGGCGGGAGGGGCTGGGTGGGGCGGGGCGGGTGGGGCGGGCATGGTGGGGCGGGGGCAGGGTGGGGCGGGGCGGGGGCAGTGTAGGCGCGGGGTGGGGCGGGGGGGGGTCGGGAGGGGACGGGGCGGGGCGGGGCAGGGTGGGGCGGGGCAGGGTGGGGCGGGTCGGGCAGTGTAGCGGGGTGGGCGCCTCGGCGGGGCGGGGTGCGCGGACGGGGCCGTACGGGACGTGCGGGGGCGGAGCGGGGTCGGAGCGGGGGCGGAGCGGGGGCGGAGCGGGCGGGCGGGCGGGGCGAGGCGAGCGACGCCGAGCGGACGCGAAGCCATTATACATGGCCTTCCGGAATATCCGATGAGGGCCTTTTGCCGCGCGGGGTGCCTGTCTCGGAGGTGAAAGGCCGAGAAACGAGGCTCAGAGAACGGAACGTGAGACGGGGGTGCTCCCGCCCCCTTTCGCCGCCAACCCTTGTCCTCGGCTGCTCTGCTCTGCTCGGGCCACCGGCACCTCACGCGCGGAAGACGGTGCCTCGCCCCGCAACTACCAGGGAAGCTGGCGTAGACATTGCGTTCGTAAACATCGTAAAAATCTGCAGAAAGTATTCTTGATGGCGTTCATACAATCGAATCTCAAAATTTGACCACTTTTTATTAGTAAGTTGTATAGGTACATGCGTAAAGAAAAAGTAACACCGCATTTTACTTGACATTACTACATACTCGTTCTCTAATACTCGTTCCTTATATACTAATTGAATATGTGAAAACCAAGATGACGTATAAGTCAACATTTTTAATATAATTCTGAGTAAATTGTGTATTTACACTCAATACCACTTAAAAAGTCGTGGTGCTTTGTGTCATTAGTAAAACCTAATGGTATATTTCAATGTTCATTTAAAATTTCAAATTACATTGGCACTACAATGTAGCTTAATATAAACGCCGTTTTTTCCCCACACTTATAAAATGTCACTTATATCGTTCTAAATTTCACTCCATTCCATGGAACACAATATATTCGATCGTTTGCATTCTTAAATAAAATTGTTAAAGTCTACTACTTCTCTATAGAGTTTTGAAAATTTCGACTCCACTATTATACCCACTACGGAGTGTAAACAGAAAATATTATTATAGCACTTATAGGGATAAGATTCAAACAAATGGATTTCTTCTAAGTAGATAATATACGTTTCTTTTGATACTATACAGAGTTCATTCAGTTTACAACAATCGCAATTTAACTGGTGGCCAAAGTAAATGAAATTGTTCTGTGAATATGTAAAAACACTCATGTACACAGCGTTGCAAATATCACAAAATACTAACTATATCCTTGCAATCTTCTAAAACCTGAAATTACAATGTACTAAATTTTTAGTTGATTGACACGAATTTTCAGAAAATGTTTTCTTATTTAATTTCACATATTTTCATGCTTCCAGCTATTTATTTTCGAATCCATTGTGATAGCAAAGCTAGAAATGATAGAACTAATACATCGATATATTTAGGGTTATATTTCAGTTTCAACAGATTTTTTGGAAAACCTACTTTACCGGCTAATAACAGTACAACGAATTTGTAATTATTCGCACAACATTGCACTACACTTTATGGGACTATTAACGAACTTTAGTAATTGACGCGC